TAATTTTGTCTGCTAAGTTTTAATTTGACTATTTTTAAACGTGAGTACAAGGCTTTAGCGAAAAATTGATGATTATTATTTGAACACTACAGAAGAAAAGATAATAAAATGAATTTATTGGATTTGACTATTTTTAAGTATTAAGGATTACGTGAGTACAAGGCTTTAGTGAAAAATTGATGATTATTATTTGAACACTACAGAAGAAAAGGTAATAAAATGAATTTATTGGATTTTTAATTTAAAGGATCATATGCTGAATTAAATATTTTATAATTGAAAATCAAATATGAATTTTATTTAAACTAGAGTTATACAATAATACGAATATTTATTGCTAAACAATTGTCTGAATTAGTTGTATCTTTAAAAAATAAATCAGATTAATTGTTCTCTGATTGTTTTAGTTTTACATAAGAAAGAATAATGGCTCATTTCTAAAAAATTTTTGGTTTTACATGCAACTTAATTTGATAATGAGTAAATTATGCCTTGATTAGTATTGATCAATTGAATTATTGAGTAATGCCAAGATAAACTAGACTTTTCCATTGGTGTCACTTGTATTATGATGCGTGCTGAATAATAAATAGTTTGTCCTTTCAAACACAATACAAAGCTTATGATAACTATTTTATAATTATTATAAATACCATCTGTTTGCGACTTTTCAGCTATTAATAAAAATCTAATTCTCTTCCAAGAGTAAAAAAAAGGAAAAGAAACACCTTTGCTTTAAATTATTTGTTTAATTTGACCATTTTATACAATACATAACAACATAAATTAATGGCCCAACGTTTTAATTTATTTAATTTAAAATAATAAAGTTCACTAAATTTAATTCTTGAAAAATGATTGTTCAATAGTAAAGTATATAGTGATTGATGTGAATTATAATTTACAATTAATATAATTATTATCAGAAAAAATAAAAAATTTATTACTATCAAGACTTAATGTTTAGAGTCAAAAGCCTAACCCAAATATTCTACTATTGAAGTCAATTCTTTCACAATCTTATTATTTGAAATAAATAAATTTCTAATAAAAGCGATTATTTTAACCTATACAAAATAACTTCAAAATTGAACAGCATTAATTAAAGATAAAAAAAATTGTTTCTCAGAATTGTCTGAGAAAAATTACTCTTGAATTGAAGTTATAATTAGTAAATCTTGATTCGACTATATAAGTGCTGCAAAACATAATCTAGACAAAACAATGAATCTGGAATATCTATGTAATGATACGTTTTTAGCTGCACATAATAATTATTGTATCGGAAGATACGAAAGTTCTTTTAACTTTTTTAACCATATAGTGAATAAATATCCAAACACAAGTCGAATACCTGATGCAAAATTTTATTTGGCACTGCATTATAAAGATGGGAATTATGTTGAAAAAAATGATATTAAAGCCTCTGATCTCTTTGAACAAGTTGCACAAAGTAATTCAAAATACAAAGACAATGCAAACTATCATTTGGCAATGTATTATGCTGAAAAAAATGGAAATAAAGCCTTTTTTCTCTTTAATCAAGTTTCACAAAGTGATTCAGAATATAAATATGATGCAAAATATATATTGGCAAAATTTTATGAAACTGGACGGGGTGGTGCTAGAAAAAATTACAAAAAGGCTTTTGATATCTACTTTGAGCTTTCAAAAAGCAATTCACATCTCCATGCTGATGCAAAAAATTGCTTAGCAAGGTATTATTTTAATGGTTACGGTGCTAAAAAAGATTATAAAATGGCTTTTGATATTTATTATGATCTTTCATTAAGAAAGTTGC